TTATCCTAGTGGTAGGATATTCTTCAAGCATTGAGACATCAGCTCCTAGTCATGGCAGGGAGGACAATAGACAAAAGAACAATTTCTACCTCTATCTGCACTGTTTACTGTGTTATAAGTTATTTTAATTTTAATTCTATTTTAATATAGGTTTAATGTATGTTTAATGGATGTATGTTTCGTATGCTACTGGATACTTGAATTTCCCTCGGGATAAATTAAGTGTATCTTTCTATCTATCTATCTATCTATCTATCATCACTTAGTTATGTTCTCTTAGTTCTTTAGACTACTGCAAAATGAGTACCCTAAGATGCAGGGAGTGACAGGTGGATGGCTACTCTACAAGGCTACAGGTGGAGAAAAGTAGTAATATAATATCCATTTTCATACATTGCCATTCAAATAACTTGGCCAAACATATCTAGTTGAAATAATCCAAACAATGTTGCATTTACAGGTGGTCAGGGTAAAAGGAGACTGATAATGATTCCTCCAGACTCTGATTGATACACCGGAACCCTTCCATGCAGTGTCACAGGGGCAGGGAAGAACACCCTGTATATTGTGCCTTTGCAGCATGAGTTTGACCTAACTCCACTAACTCCAGATGCCAATTCTGAAGTATGCCAAAAGCACAATGTCAAACTTGCAAATTGAGTTTTCCTTTGCACATTTTGGCCCTTCATGTTCCGGAGTGCATGGAGTCTCAGTCAGCAGGAGAGGATATTGAGGTAAGCTATGTAATACATGTGATGTTGCATTGTACAGCAACTGCTGCTGTTCAATGAGTTATAACATCGTTCATATGTAATATCTTAGACGTGTGAAAACGACATCCAGATAGTTTCAATGACAGCCCCCCCTGTACACCATGACACCAAGACATCTTTTGAAGAGGTACAGTGTTAAAAGTTATTGAGTTGCAATGTGAAAAGCCAACATAAACTGTTCTGTTGCTAATAGTCCAACTGTTCTGTCTCCAATAGAAAGTTCCATGTCCCATCTGTTTCTTGAAATTTACACCACAGTTTGTAGAGATCCATGCTAGCATGTGTGGAGAAAGGTAATTTGTATGCGGTACTTTTATGTTCATTTTAAATGTATATGTAACTTGAGTACTTGTTTTTTCTATGCATACTAATATGTCTCACATGTGCTTTTGTAGAGAAAAGGACAATCTTAAGATGGCTGAGACACCTGCTGCGAGCCAGAACAATGGAGTGGAGCACATCAGAAGGTAAATGCTGTGTTGTCTAAATACATAAACATCTTCATCCTACACAGATCTTAATTCTGCAGGTTTTGCAGTCAACATTAGTAGCTATTTATTGATTCTAAGTTTGGTTTGGCAGTGTTGATGATGTATTGGATGCCATGTGTGTAAGAGTTGACCTAGAGAAACAGTTCAACATCCAAATCTCCAGAACAAACATTCTGGAGAGAGGCCTACTGCAGTGGCAGCGTCCAAAAAAAAAATTCACTTACTGCTGCTCTGAAAGTGACGTTCTTTGGGGAGGCTGGAGTGGACACAGGTGCTCTCTGAAAAGAATTTCTCACAGGTAAAACAAAAGGAAACATATTTGAATCCACAGAACAGTCTCTATGAATAACGGGCAGCTCACCCAAATCATGAAGAAATGTTACATTTTTATTAGTAATATGTCCAACTACCAGCTAAGGTCTGTCCTCGAGTTGTGTATTAGGTTTTCTATAATGTACAAAAATTAATAAATATAACAACCCAAATTAGACAAACCCTGAATGGCTAAATAGAAATAAATTTTTATTGTCTTGGTTGGGTTTCCAATTAAAGTAATATGGTCTAAATTAAATGGCTAATAGTTAATTCACACGATAATAAAATATTACTTGACATAGGAGACCCTAGACCAACACAGTTATTGTGTTTGTACTTGTGTCAATAGAAATGATTGCAGGAATTGAGAGCCGTTTCTTGAGGGGCCAAAGCACCAGAGGAGCCCACGATACTCTCTGACTGACTTTGACAGCAGCCTGTACAAGTGGGTTTATTTTTATGCAAGTCGGGACAAACTGTTTCTTTCTGTGAAATATTTTTTAAAACATTAATGCTTGATTTGTGTAAATAGGACTGTTGGAGAGATTTTGGCAGTAAGTTTGGCACAAGTTGGCCCGGCCCCTGCCTTTTTCAGCCCATGGACTTACAGTTACCTCTGTAGTGGCCAGATAAACCCGGCGACTCTCAATACTGATGCAGTTGCAGATGTCCAGTTGCGAGAGTTAATTGAGCAGGTATGACCTCTGTATGAAGGAAATGCTGGGTTGATCAAGTATTCCCTGTCAAACAATATTTTCATGTGTTTACATGGGAAAGAAATTTTCTTCCTGTGAATTAAATTTATATTTTCAGGTTGAAATGTCAACTGAACATTCAATTGAAGGCCTTTCTGATGAAATCATAAATTGTGGAAATACAGGATCTCAATGCAAAACAAGGAGTCCATTGTTTGGTATGTTAGCACATATATTTCTGTTTGTACAGTAAAATTAATCAAAGGTATTTTTTGTAGCAATTGTTTTCCGGTCTACTATTGTAGTGCCAATGTACTCCATGCAGTGCTGAGGCTGCAGCCTATGTTGGAACAACTGAGAGAAGGCCTGCAGCTGTATGACCTTCTTTCGCTAATCAGGCAGTACCCAGATATCTGCCAGCCCCTGTTTGTTCCCGGTGAAGATGTAAAAGTAAGCAAAACAAGACCATTTAGTACTATTATATGAAGAAATGCTTAACTGCTATGACATTTTATAATTAAATGGTGACACGATATACAATTTTATCTCATCATAGGTTAATGCAGAGTTTGTCATGGCATCCATTCTTCCTCAACTGAGTGACAAAGGGACTTCCAGGCATCAGATTGAGCTGGAGATGATCAACTTTATTCAGGACTTCCTTTATGAAGCTGAAGGTGTATAGTTGTTAATGTTCTGCAAATCAAATATTCGAAAGCTCAGTAAAATTTATTGTTTTCATGACATTTGGAGCTGTATAATTTTCCGGTACCACCTGTAGTTATGCTGGTATTGAACATGTTAATGTTATTTTCTACCTGAAAATTTTTGATAATGGTAATAGGTACTATGGACCAGGGTAGTTTTAAGACAGTTCACTTTTTTTGAATGCAAGGCTGTAATCACAATGAGCATACATACAGAGAACATACATACAAATGATTGTTTCCCTAAACCCATTGTTCTTAATTAAAACCTTTACAAATCTATCACCATTCTATGTAGAAAGACATTACCAATAATGAAAGTATATATAATGGCATATATTCATTGTGTTCAGATAGTCATCTCCAAATCATCTTGAAATTTGACTTTGACTGTGGCTGAGTACCTTTGTCTAATTCACTCCTTTAATTGAAAGAACTGTACTGCAGTAAGGAATAACATTTGTAATGGTCACATAACACTTGTTGTTTTATCTGTTTGCTTCATAGCTGAAGACCAGGTAGATGACCAAAATGGCCAACATTCCATCACACCTGCCAGGTTTCTCCAGTGGATCACAGGCCAAGGTCACATCCCACTTCTTCCCTCAGAGAAGAAGGATTTTGCTGTAACGATCAAGTTTAACCATGACTGTAGTGCAGCCTTTGGCCATCAGTGTGTGTTACCCTGTTGTGTCAGCATGTGCCAAGAATATTGTACTGCCTGTAAAACATATGAGGCCTTAAGACCAATTCAAAAAGGGTCTAATTGAGGCTTTTCATCTGGGCCAACAGTTTAACATGGTGTAAATATTTACCATCAATTGATGGTACCTTTTTCTAGGTTGAACTACATCCTACAGTAAATGATAAATGTTTATCACCAGTTGCTACCGTTTTACTTATGTTCTGATTAATGAAACACATTTCTTAGTAATACGGTGTTCCAAAATCCATATTTGGAAAGAGGAATTAGTCGAGAGTAAACATTAAATTATTGTTTAATAGCAGTACTGTTGAGCATTTCATGCAAACATGTTAAGGTTAAAAAGGTAATCTTGCAACAAGATTTCATAAAAGTCATTAGTTTACATCTCATCTAGATGTCTGGCTAATTGGCATCATGTTGTCTCACTCACAAGTTGCAACCTAGCACTCTGAGAAGCAGTTAAAGAATGTTTGTACCATGTAGCTTCACTGCGGTCAGTAACAATAAACATTTAAAACAAGTTCAATGTACACTTTGTATAACACGTTAGTGTTAAGCTGGTTTATGAAACAAAATTCTTGCATCTACGGTACATGATTTAGCACGTAGTTCAATACAGCCAAATAAATGTCTCGCCCATAGGTATCTGATGGTGCTGTAACATCAATAGTGTTCCTTAAGCCTGTCATGTCCTGCTCAGAGAGAGGACATTCAGTGGACAGAAGAATCACTCCAGGACTGCTCACGTCTTGCTCGCTGGCAGTGTTGAAATGAAGATCTGCATCCTCAATTTCCTACATTTAAAATAAAAAGAAAGTCATTTATAAATCAGGGAACATAAAAATAAATTTATAAAAGTATTAAGAAGAAGACTAATGTGAACAGAACGGATACCATGCTGATGCCAGTATTTTATTCAATGCGACCTAAGCTGTTGTTCAGCTTTTAAACCATTTTAAGCACTTTGATATTGGTAAACATTCAAATTCTCTGCAATGTGAATTTGGAAAGAATTAGCTCTGTTATCACTTTCATTAATTTGATACTGATGATTGGAAACCACATAAAATCAGTTTTTATAAATTATATAAAATAATGATGCTACAAAATGAACTTTACATTATCTTGCACCAACTTTTCATCAATAATGTAATACACCATGAAAATATAATTTCCAAGCTTTATCTGGAGTAAGTTTTCAGGGATTTCTTTACAGTGTTGTACAGATATTTTAAACACGATGGTTATGTTTGAAATATTTTAATTAAATGAAACAACTGTAATAATCAATACAAACAAAATGTAATTAGTTCCTCTGTCAGGTCTGGAGCATCAACAGGATTCAGGAGGAGCCCCATCATCCACAGTTGCGGGGACAGATTCTGCTCTGTTCTCAGAGGGCGATTATCCCACCCCACCCTGAAGACATCGAGATCCCTCTGCAGACGTCGAAGAAACACATGCTGGGCACAGAAAAGATGGATGCTGTCAGAAGGATCTAGAACACCTTCATCCTCAAGGCTGTGAAGAATCTCGTAGTACACATTGGAAACGGTCATCCAAACATCTCGCAACAAACGTTCTATTCTGTTAAAAGAAAACATCAAATTATCTTCAAGTGGGTACAGTACATTTGAACTTGCACTTGAACTTGTGTAAAAAATAAATGGAACATGGAACAAAGGTAGCCCAATTTAGATGAATTTATTGGACAACCGTAAGTGAAAGTTCAAGCTACTGCTCTTCCCTAGACTAGAAGACGGATATAAAGATGCCATTGTTAATACTCTGGTCACATACTAGGACATGATCCAGTGGTAGGAATGGGTCGGTTCAAACTGGTTTGATATTCAGCCAAACACCAAACCGAACCTTGAGGAGTCACATTGAACGCAGCAGATGCTCTCCAAAGGGACACTGAACGATGACAAGAAATAAACAGAAGAGCTGGTTCCACCGGTTAGTTCAAATTAAACTGGTTTGAGATTCTAAACCGCACCAGAATAGTAAAAACAGAAATCAACCTAACTCTATCCAGTGGTAAGAACACTTGAAATACAGAAATACAGTAAAGTCAAGAAACCATATAAAATACATAACCGCCTCACAGGCTGTGAAAAGCACACTATCTAGTGATATCTGGACCTAGCTATATTAAATATATTATGGCTTCCAGTCAGATATACATTTCTTTTGATCTATGTGGAACTGACTTATTTAGAAGAGTTTAATACGTGCCCTATTATGTGCCTTTCATGTTAGGTGTTTTATGTGGTTTCTTTGTTTTGACCATCTTTTTCACATTTGGATCTGGTAAATATTAAGTGCCCAGAGAGTGTGCAGACCTTTGCTTCATGTTTTGTGTTCTTTGATGTTGAGGCTTCTGGATGTGTGTGACCACTTCACAGGCAATAAAGAAAACATACCTTTGGTTGTGTACACTCTTTCCTGACAGGAAACTCTCCCTTCCACAGCCTCTAATGGTGAACATGCATCGCGCAACACCAACATTTTCCACTCCTTGGTCACCTCTTACTCTAAAAAGAAACCGTCACACATAAAGTAAGAAATAAAAAGTTTTTTAAATAAAAATGCATCATTAAATGTTTCAAAAAAATAGAAGATATGCTAACTTCTAACATCTTTATGTATTATAAAAATACAAGACAAAAAAATCCAAAGCACTCTCTTTTAAACAATGCCTTTATTGTAATGGTATTTCCAAAATTTAAATGCCCACTTAAACGTGCTTTGGCATCAGGGAGTCCCTGATGGAGGCTTGATACTTATATATGACCATGCCATTATAATAAAGGCATTTTAATTGTTTAAAATGCCTTTTGTTTATGGTCATCTTACTGGACAAAACATTGGTCAAATGAAGACACACTTGGTCTTACCTTAATGGAAAGCCATACTTCTGCACTGCCTCAAAGAAGAAATCAAGTGCAGTGGATGCTTTATTATTGGTTGCAGCACCTAGGTACATGATCTGAAGAAGAGAATATCACTCACTGGAAATTAAATGAAAGCATTTCATTTTTCAAACCTATAACAAGAAGTAGAACCACGTCTGTCATTTTGAATCTCATTTAGTAGTCATCAGACCTTTCGTGAGAAGCCATCAATCCCTCCAAAAATAACAAGGCCATATCTGTTGGGGACGACGACGCTGAATCAGTTTGATGTAGTACTTGTGTAAATTTCTTTGCTGATGCAAAACAACAGTGTTAAAAATGTGGTGGGGAATTTTGGGGGAATATTAATTTTTTCATTTTTAATTTATCATACTGAGCAAAAATATATGACCTACCTGATGAGCTTATGATTTGTGTTGATATGCACCAAGTGCAGAGGACCCTGGACAGAATAAGTCCTTCTTGCAACACACCCCAACCTTGTCAGTTTTGAGAGTACCACAACGGAGTCTACACGATGCATGGATGAAGACACCCTGTTCCACTGGACACGGTGACCCATGGCCTGCAGGATTCCTTTCATCATTCTGCACCCTACATGTGGTGTTCTGGCCTTCACCGACCTCACCAAATTGTCAAGTTGTTCATCAGTTAAGGTACTGTAATACTGCATTATGGAAAGGTCATATTCATGCATGTGCCGTTTCACTGTCCTCTCAGATACACCCAGAAGTCTTGCAATGCATCACACTGGTAGGGACATGTCTACCAGGCTTTGTAGTTGCTGATGTGACACAACATATTTTGGCCGTCCCATTTCTGCTTGCAACACTGGCACCTGACAAAGACTCATATTAGAGCTGTCCTCTGCATTGACAAGTATTGACAGCTCTGTCAATGCATTTACAACATCTTGTGGCATCTCAACTTGGCCTGACAATGACCTAAAACAAACTGCAAATAGCCCACATCCAGCGGGAGTCTCTGTGTGACCTGGGAAATTTTACTCAGAAGTCTGTGAAGAAGGTCTGTTTTCAGTTGCTCCTAAAATAGACAAATATTATATTACATTAATGTACATACATGTAACAAACAGCATGACAGTTATGCCTTACAAAATATGCAAAGTGGGCAAACTTAGAACACAGCCTAACTTATGTATCAGAATACACTATCGAAGAGGATTGGAAAGGTTAACGTTATGCTATGTAACATAAAGTAAGTTAACCATGAAAAGGCAATACGTTTCTAACAACATAAAGTCAGTCGTTATCTATATTTTTTAGGTTTATAAGACTCTGTGCGGCTGCAGCCACTGTCGAGTTATGGTCGACATTCTGACAAACAGAGGTTAACAAAGAAAATCCACGTTAAAGGCATAAAACAACTTGAGCTAGTTACTGAAATGAGTGTGAAATTCACAACACTAGCTAGCTTTAGTAGGATGGAGCTAACTTAGTTCATGCTAATCCAAGCGATGCTTCATTTCCAGCTTTGTCCAGTTGTCAAACTCAAACGCATTTTCCCTTTATGTGTGTCCCTACGATTAAATAATTAGCCACTGTGGGATAATGTCACCAAAGAATATATTCTAAACGGCCCATATATTTCACGTCTTACCTGTGCACTGGCGCCAGCGGGTTGCCTTGGCGAGGGAATACAGCGGTGCGTTCATGGTCGCATGTGTAAGTGGGAGAAGTTCATTCTTAAAGTGTAGCTGCTGAACTGCACAAACTGGCACAATTTATTGCTCTTATAGTGTAACTGGTCCCACGTATTGTCCAAAACAGCTTTTTAAAGGGAACTTAGCCACTGGCATTAGTTTGTTTACTGCCAATCACATGCATATGGTGGATAGAAAGCATTGAGCCATGGTTCTCGCAGTGCCTACGTTTCGTGAATGCAACATGACTGAGGAGAGTCTTCTTCCTTCTTTGTTAGACTGTCACTCCTGATTCCACGCCCCTCTCCGTTGAAACCACGCCCCCCACGCAAAATCGGGGCCAAAAGTCTGAAACTGAAAAATAGATTTGAAAGTGAAAAAAAAAAAGATCTGATGCTGTAAAAAAAAGATTTGATGCTGTAAAAGAAAATAAGCTTTGACTATGAAAACATAAAACGTGGAACTGAAAAATAAAAGTCCTAAAATATCAAAATATGGAAAAGTGAAAAATATAAAACAAATAATTTCTTCAAAATACTTCCAGAAATAAATCAATATTTTATTTAAACTGAAAAAAAAACTGGAAAACTTATTTTTAGTTTGAGTACATGGTTGTAGTTTTAGACAAATACTTAAGTTTTCAATTTCAAGTTTTAGTTTTTCGATTACAATTTATTTTTTCAAATTAACAAAACATTTGGCCCTAATTTAGCTCCATAATTAGGGTGCAAATGGTTTACTTAGATGAATTATTTTCTACTTTTATTATTATTTTAGTTTACACACTAATGTAGTATTATACTGTAGTATTGTACTGAGTGCAAGCTTATATTCCTTACTGACATTAAAATATGAACAAAACTAAATTGTGAACTAAATGATGAAGCAATTTTGCCAAATGACCAACTTATGTAAACTTGAAGTTCACAGCATTTTTTCAACACTTCGTAAACGACACCCTCAGTTTACCCTCCACCACTTCTCTTTTACACATTTTACAGCAGCACATTGAGCTCATCTTGCTGAATCGAAGCCATATATAAAGTGAGATTAGCTCTCCTTACTTGTCTATATGTTTCTTTCCAAACAAATGTGATGTCAGAATAGAAATTGGTACACATGTTAACATGAGCACAATATTCACAGACAACACTGCATCACCTTGATTTTAAAACAGAAGTTACTTTTTAATGTTTTAATCAAATCATCTTTTAAACAAAACATTCATGTTCTTTTAAAGCAAACTCAAAATCACACATTCAAACAGGAAGTAGCCGTGTACAACCAGATGTTACTGTGTGATTAATAATATCTGAGGTTCATTTCTGTTGAACTAAAACCCAACAAACAAAATATATCCTGTCATTTTCAGTGAAGTTCACGAAAAGCAGTAAAATAAAGACATAAAACATAAAAGCAAAAACATTTTACCTTACCAAACGAGCATGCAACTGAAAGAGAAACAATTCGTTTTAAAATCAAGCAATTTATAAATTTCACAGTAACAGTAACCGACTTCCCTGCTGAGCCTTTGCAATATAAAAGCAAACAGAGTTACTCTTTCATGCAGAATACCACACGAGTAAAATACTGCAAAGTCTTCACAATTCTTGGCCACACCCTGTCATTGAGGAAGTCAGATTCATCTTCAGCTCATCAGGGTGAAAATTACTGAATTATATAGTTTTTAGTATTTTCTAGTTTTATTGTTATTTATTTTAGTTTACACATTCATTTAGCATAGTGTATTAATTGCAAGCCCATATTCCCTATTCTTTCTGTAGCTTATATGGCGAACATACACTACCAGTCAAATGTTGGGACACACCCATTTACTGTTTTTTCTATATTGTTTATATTTCACACTGTAGATTAATACTGAAGACATCAAAACTATGAAGGAACTGTCACGATCTGGCTCCGGGAGCATGACAAATATGGAGACACACCATATTGAAAGTATAACACAGTAATTTATTTTTAACAAAGGATGGGCAAAGAATCTAAACAGAATGTAAAACAAAGCATGTCGTGTGAAAATCAGTAAAGTCAGTAGTGATAGGTGTGAATGAGTGAAAATATGGTGTATGTAGAGGTGTTGAAGTGTGGAAATAAAACAAAGGAGAACTCAAAATGGCCTCAGTCACATCCTTGAAGGGCGATGACGGGAGAAAGAAGAGAGCGAGACACTGCACTACTGCCAGGCTGAAGTAATCGGCACACTGGGGCCCTCAGGTGTTCACGATTTACCTAATGAATGTAAGCACAAGAAAGTTCCACAGGACAGCCACACAGGGGTCGTCACAGAACACATGGAATTATGTAGTAAACAAAAAAGTGTTAAACAAACCAGAATGTGTTTTATATTTTAGATTCTTCAAAGTAGTCTTCAGCTTCATGAGGTGGTCACCTGGAATGGTTTTCTAACAGTCTTAAAGGAGTTCCCAGAGGTGCTGAGCATGGGTGATTGTGGAGGCCAGGCAATCTGACGCAGCACTCCATCACTCTCCTTCTCACTAAGCACAAAGCAGATGGGATGGCATGTCGCTGCAGAATGCTGTGGTAGCCATGCTGGTTAAGTTTTTCTGCCACCATCAGTGTCATCGGCAAAGCACCACCACACCATCACCCCTCCTCCATGCTTCATGGTGGAGGGCAGAAACAAAAACTAAAAATTTGGACTCATCAGACCAAAGTACAGATTCAAAGACAGGTTTCTTGGCCCATGCAATTTTCTTCTTGTTGTTCTTCGTTCAGTAGTGGCTTCTTTGCGGAAATTCGACCATGAAGACCTGATTCTGACAGTCTCCTCTGAATAGTTGATGTTGAGATGTGTCTCCTACTTGAACAAATACATCTATGTGGGCTGTAATCTGGCTGGTAATTCTAATGAATTTATATTCTGCAGCAGAGGTAACTCTTGGTCTTCAGTTGTCTGGTCCGGTCCTCATGAGAGCCAGTTTAATCATAGCGTTTGATGGTTTTCACAACTGCACTTGAAGATGCATTCAAGGTTTTTGAAAATTTTCTGGATTAACTGACCTTCATGTCCTAAATTAATGATGTACTGTTGTTTTCTTTACTGTTGAGGGGTTCTTGCCATTTGAACAGTAGTAAAATAGAGATATTCACTGTGCAGAACTGTGTACCAACCCAACCTCTGAACAACCCAACTGATGGTCTCAAGCACGTTAAGAAGGCAAAACATCTGTTTTTTCCCGCTTTATTTCCAAAACATGGGTTACTTCTGACATTAATTCAGTCACTGGAAGATGAGGACGGGGTATTTTGGGGTTAAAGAGTACTGAGCTGTGAGCGCAAGACTCTGGCAAGATGAGAGGAAGTGCTGTGTTTTACATCGATGATGCTTGGTGCACAAACCCAGTCAAGATGAACAAATGTCTTTCATATTACCGTCTGGTTGCTGCTGTTTCCATTCACCCCAGATGCAAATTCAATAAATGCACAGTGGAATGTTCGGGGTGTAAACGTGTATGTGTACATGTATATAAATAACTGTATATATTGTTTTATTTTATTTATTATTTTATGTTACCATATTTTAATGTAGGCCTACACTTAATTATATGCTGTGTGTGTAAATTTCGTTTCGTTATGCAGCCTTGTGCTGTATAATGACTAATAAACAACATTGTACCTTGTATATTACAATACCGACAATTAGAGCTTAATATTTGCTTAATGTATTGTAAAAAGTTGTTTAGTGCATTCTGACAAGTTTACTCACCCAAAGTAGAAAGGGTGATAGTGTCATGGTTTATTGTATGAATTTTGCTATTTCCTGTTTATTTTTAAAAGAATTATTCCTTGTGTGTCTTGTGTTAGTTTACTCCCTGCTTCTCTGCCCTAATGAGTTTCACATGTGTATTGTTTTCCACCCCTCTCTTGTGTATATAGTCCCCAAAAGTATTGGAACGGTAAGGCAAATTCCTTTGTCTTTGTTGTTCACTGAAGACATTTGGGTTTAAGACCAAAAGATAAGTATGAGACAAGAGTTCAGAATTTCAGCTCTCACTTCCTGGTATTCACATCTAGATGTGTTAAACAACTCAGGACATATCACCGTTTGTATTAGACCTCAGCATTCTTAGGTGAGCAAAAGTAATGGAACAAATAATGTTTCTGTACACTTCTGAATTCATACTGCTGCTACCATCATCAGTTACATCATCAATAAATATTAATGAGCCTGTTCCAGAAGCAGCCATGCACGCCCAAACCATGACATTATCTCCACCATGCTTCACAGATGAGCTTGTATGCTTCGGATCATAAGAGTGCCTTTCTTTTTCCACACTTTGGTAGAGATTCTTTGTCTCATCAGTCCATAAGATTATGTTGCAGAACTTTTGCGGCTCATCTCTGTTCTTCTTAGCAAATTTCAATCTGGCCTTCCGATTCTTCCTGCTGATGAGTGGTTTGCATCTTGTGGTGTGGCCTCGATATTTCTGCTCTCCGAGTCTTCTTCCAACAGTGGATTGTGGATTGACCTTCACCCCTCCTCTATGGAGGTCGTTGCTGATGTCACTTACTGATGTTTTGGGGGTTTTCTTCACAGCTCTAAAGATATTTCTGTCATCGCCCGACATGTTCGACATCTGTTGCTCAGTACACCAGTAGTTTCTTTCTTTTTCAGGACATTCCAAATTGTTGTGCTTGCTATGCCCAATGTTTGTCCAATGGCTCTGGTCGATTTTCCTTTTCTCAGCTTGACAATGGCTTTCTTTTCTCCCATAGACAGCTCTCTGCTCTTCATGTTGGTTTATCCTCTGTAACAGGAAATTCAGTCTTTATAGGTTTGAACCAAGGATGAAAACTTGACTAGTCATGCAGAGCTATTTATGTTTGGACACGCTCTAAAAGGCAACACCTGGGCAACAAGAAACATCTGTCAGTCACATGTTTCAATAGTTCAGTGAACAACAAAAACAAAGGAATTTGCCTTACAAATACTTTTGGAGGGGACTGTATGTAGTCCATGTGTTTCCCTTGTCTTTTGACAGTTTGCCTTCATGTCACAAGCAGACTGCTCGCCTGGTTTAAACATTGCTTGATCACCATTGTTGTAAGCTTGTTTCTTTTCCACGCTTGAACACACAGTGACAGAACAAACTGACAATCATGGACCCAGCAGACTCTATCTCTGATGAACTTTGTAACCTGTTGGAGATCAAAGACATCTGGAGGAATGTCCAGTCTTATTAGTTCACACAGAGATGAAGGTTACCAGTTTAAAGATAAAACACGGTAAAATTCAAATGGTTACTATTATCGTTTCAAATTTGTATTATGTGCACCATGGGTTTGTTTTGGGTCAATGAAAACATCAAGTAAGGACATGGCAGTGGTCCGGTGATTTTTCAGCATGTCTGAAATCTGGTCATATTTTGGTTCTGAGGGAAACTTGATCAAAGAAAATCACTTTATAGTGAATGCAGGGTAAGTTAACATTTAGCTCAGTGCATGATGTGGGGACTTTGAGGGAACATGTCATTGTTTGTCTGTCTGACTTGCTAATAACTTTGAAATATATATAATAATATATATATAATAATAAAATTGAAGCTCTCAGTCTTACCTACTTTGTTCTGCTGCTGTCTGCGTCGTGTGTCTGCAGACTCTATTCATCCATTTCACATGATAACACGTTACGTAGTTTAGTAACCCAACCAACATACAAAATATGACAGTCATCAAATTGGTGTGAAAAGTGTTCCAACAGGAGAAACGCTGTATACGGATCCTTCACTCAGTACAAGACTCCTCTGCATTTGTTCAATTCTAGGCCTCATTGAAGTTACTATCACAAATCTTCTTTCATTTATATTTATGTATACTGTGCATGAGGTCATCGACAGAACATTGTAGTTTCATCCCAGCAAGTCACTTCAGTAACATCCGCCATCGCATAATTACGTCGCCAAGAAAATCGTCGGATTCTCTTAGACCCGCGGTCCTCTTTTCCTAAGTCACTATGAATTCTCCTTCACATGTTTCCTTGACCTCATGACGTTTTCCATCGAGGTCAAGGAAAAGTGGTTAGGAAAGGAGATTTTTTTTTTACTTTTCGGATCCATCCTAAATATCTTCAGACAACGCCTCGTGTTTATTTTTGAAGTGATTAAAATACAATAAAAACATGGGATACAAAATATGTGACAAATGATTAGATTAAAAATGAATTGTAAAATATCGCAAAATTAAATTACTCAAACATTTCAAATATAATATTACAACACTAGTAATGTGAGTATAAAACAGCTTTGGGTTCAAGTTTGCTGTATTTTTTTTCTCATGTCATTTAGAATAGTTCCCTTTTTCACTTGCCCATTTCTGAAAAAGAGATGATTTATCACACAGCATCAACGTATGTATGAGGTCAGCACATACATTTGAACTATAATGTGATAACGTGTGAAAGATGAAACCAGCTGCAGGGTGTGGAGGTTTTGACTTTCAGCAAAGTGAAGATATTTTCCTGTCCAATCTCCAGTGTCTCTTTCTAAATTAACTGACATAAAGTAAATTGTAACGCAAAAAACAAAATGTAAGTATGTATGCAGTCCAAATGTGATCACAAAACAATCTTCATTTTTTCTTCACTTGAGCTCAGAGATCCTCTAGGAGTCTGTGTTAAGCTGTTTGCTGGCTGGGACAGTTTGACCTGTGCATACAGAGTATCCTGCTGCTGTCCACTGTCCTGCACTGAGTCAGAGGACAGTTCAGGGCTCCACTTGGAAAAATCAATCTCTCCATAATGGATGTCTTCTTCTTTTTCTTCAGTTTTAAATGCTGGGTTTTCAACAGCCAGCTCTTCACCTGTTTGACCCTGTAAATGAATCAAACAGGAAGTGTTGTGAGGGGAACCTTCAGCTGGATCCTTCCATGATAAATAATTACTAATCCATCTCAAATGAATTAAGAAGACTTTTGATCGAAATCAGAAAACCATTACAGCACTGAGGCGGCTCTGATTAAGGTTTTACAGTAAATCATCATCTGAACAGTGAGTCAGGTAGACTACACAGACAAAATGAACAGATGTAAAACATTCAGATACACACAGACACACAGTGCAGTACTGTACAGCTGAAGTATTGTAGTATTTTCCCACCTGAGTCTGTTGTGTAGTTGGACGTGTTGACTTTAAACACCTGGAAGACATGAGAGGCTTTTAGATCAATTATACTGTGTTTTAGGTTAAATATACATCGCAGTGTTTCCCCTGTATGCATTCAGCAGTGGCGCAGCGCCGTTGCTGAATCATGACGGCCGCTACTAAAATTTCCCACGATAATTAAACTATGCACTATAAATGTTTTCACTGGCACACTGTGGGAGCAGGGAAACACTCAATGCTTGGCTAGCTGCCTCTCATCGTTCTATACAAAACATCTACGTGACAGATGCTGTTATAACAGCGTAACTCCTGTAAGGAATCAGGAGGTGTGTAGCAAGTGTTTGATTGTCCAAGCAGCAGATGGTGAACTTGAGCGGAGGAAAATACTCTGGCAGTAAATGTACGGTGTTGGTTACAGTTTGTCGGCTTCTCAAGATGAAGAAAAGTCTGTTGTTTCCCCACCTGCTGAAAATGTTAAGTCACTGTCGAGAGCATCATAACCAACCAAAAAACTTTCCCCAAATCTAAAGTTTGTAGTTCCTCCCCAGTAGACTGATCTTTTGCTGTTGGTTATTTATTATCTGCTCTAGCTTTTCCAACTCTTTGTTCAGACATATGGTGAAAATAATGGCCCAATGTGATGTGAAATTACATATTTGTCATTGGAAAACGTACAATTTTCTTGGGGGAGGACCAACAAAAACCCCCTGCTACCCTGACCGTGACCACCAACACCAAAACATTCAGCTAAAGCTCAAATTAAACTGGGAAAACACTGACGTTTTAAACTATTCTGATGTGCATCACATGCTCATGGACACAAGAGCAATACTGCAGAGACATGTTGTGTTGGGGTTTTATATTCAGACAAAAATTTTGCTTCACCTCCTCTGCTATCAATCAATCAATCAATCAATCTTTATTTATATAGCACTTTTCATACAAATACATGTAACACAAAGTGCTTCACACTATAGAACCATTTAAAATAGTTAAAATACGAAAAAATTAAATAAAAAGCAGGTCAAGCCCAATAATCAATCCCCGCCCCCCCTAAAATACAGCTCAGTTAAAAGCTTGGTTAAATAGGTTTGTCTTTAGTTTGCCTTTAAACATGTCCAGATTTCCTGCTGTTCTCAGCTCAACAGGAAGGGAGTCCCACAAACGCTATAACTCCATCCTAGGGGAAACACAGCATTTTGCCAGTAACTGAGTAAAATTAACTGCTTTGATTTGTGATACTCACCAAACACAGACAACCAGGCAGATGAGTGCAATGATCCCGATGATTCCTCCAAGAACTGCCTCCCGTTGTCTCCCTTCAAAGAGAGGATAGGACAGCTAAGGTGGCTGACACAGCACAAAAGGTGTCTCTTCTGAGACAGCAGAGAGTAGCCAGTCAAGAAATTCAGTAAAACCATATGTTATTGTGACTTAGCCACTGACAGATAACATGGAAAATGTAAGCCAAGAGTGTGAAACACTGTCAATGTTTTTGCACCACAGTCCATTATAAACCACACATTAGATGCATTTTATACAAACATTGACGAGGGAAACACATTCATTCTCTCTGTGATTATGGACCAAAACTGCCCGGCATCAATAATATCTGGTCTGCAGCCAAATTATGGTGCTTTGATAGTGGTAAAATGTTAAAATAAATAAATTTTTTGATAGCAGTGCTGAAATAGATCTCAGTCATGGCAGCAACAGTTACTCACATCACTTCTCTTCAGTGGTTTTGCCTCAATATTAAAGCTCAAGAATGTTTTTTGCAGGAGTTTAATGAGAGCTTTTACTTTGAAAAGTTCTGAACGAAGAGTCTGTTAAGCAGGCTATCACACCTCTGAAAGAATCGCCAGAAAAAACGATTCCTCTAAACGTCCTCAGCCTGAGATACTGGGGAAATAAAAAAGCTCCTGTAGGTTAATGGATGCGGATCAATTGCCGAAACACACACACTACAGAACATGCTTTAATGTGAGCATGTGTAACAGTTGCTGCATAATCAATTTGTTCAAAATAGGAAAAAAAAATGGGATCAAACACACAATCTTCTAGGTGAGAGTCGGGCACTTTACCAATTGAGCTAACTGAACACTGTTACAACACTATATATTATGTGTTATATTCCTTACCCACCATCTAACTAATGGATGAAAATATTGCTCCGATGCAAAACTTATTTGCAGACCCCTGCAGTATATTATTACTACTTCTTCTTCTTCTTCTAACGTACATGTCTGCACTGCCTGAATTCTACCAGAAGTAGAACAAGAAGAACGTAGTGACAAAATGCGCTCTGTAAGCTGTTTGTCCGTTTTCAGCTACTGTAGGATCATGATGGTGCAACGTGACGACATCCATGGAAGTGGGGATCTGCGGTTATGGAGATATAAATGGCTCATTCTAAGGTAATAAAAACACAATAGTCTATTATGTAAGGTCTTTACACACCACTGAAAACACAGTTATGGATGTTGAATTTCTGTCACTAGATCCTCAGAAATAATACACACTGGATCTTGAAGTTCAGTTTTGCAGATTAAGCTTAAGATTATAGTTTGTACGGCACAATTTCATTCAAAGTGCTTGACAGGGTACAACAACACATTAAGAGAAAAGCAGATCAGATTTATGTTAGTGGGTCCAGTAACATAAATCTAATAAATAAATAATGAACATAAAATTAAATTCAAATAAAAAAATTAAATAAAGTTTTCTAATCAAAACTGTACTGACTACATTTACCTCCAACAGTCAGATGGATCTCTGATGATGTCTGATCACTGAGATCATTTGTTGCCACACAGTAATAAACTCCTCCATCAGTGACACTGGTCACCTTGAAGCTGTAAACCTCTCCTTCAGATACGTTCTTGGGTCCATCTGTGCTGCTCTTGAACCAGGTGAAGCGGCTGACGGGAGGCTTGGCTCTGCTGGAGCAGGTCAGGTTCACCCAGCTACCTGCTGACACCAAACCTGATGGACTGATGGACACTGAGGTGTTTTTAGGAGCATCTGAGGAAAATGTGAGATTCACTTTGTTCAAATCAGCTGACATCTCATCAATCATCATGTGTTGACAGGATCCAATAACAAACTCTGCTTGTCTTACATGAAACACTGAGAGTCTTTCTCTCCTCTGCTGTCCTGACATCTTTTCCTTCATTCACAGGATATCTGGCAGAACAGGTGATGTTGTATCCATCATGTTGGTCTGACAGAATGATGGTCTCCTGGATTTTAGTTGTAAAGGTTCGATCTGTGTTTTCCTCTGTGTTGCTGTGAGAGTCTTGTTGGAGGTTCCAGGTGAGTTTAGGAGGGGAGTGTGGACAGGGAGTGGAAGCTGAGCAGGTTATAGTGACAGACTGCTTCTCCTTCAGATCAGCTGGGATCTCAATTCTGGGGCTCGGAGGAGAATCTGTGGTTTCAAATCAAACACAGATTTTACACCGAAATGGCAATGCTGACAAGAATTTAAACTGCTTGTATTGATAATTTACAGATAAACTGGCTTCATTTAAAATGTAATAAAGAATTAAAAACAATAACTGTCATGTAGGTTTTGTCCCTCACTGATGATACATGAGTTTTCCCTTTTTGTGTCAAATAAAAAAATCAGCAGACAGGTACTGACATTTTGCCTGATTTGACAGTCACAGTAATATAGACAACATACGAAAGAAGTGAAAGATGTTTTCATATATAGGTGTCTAAGCAGTATTTAACTGTAATAACTTTGAAAACGACCACTTTCTGTTCACTGGTTGGTTTCTTTAACGTTGGACTCTGACAGCTGCTGTTGATAATCCTACAGTAGATATTTCATTTCACACTGAAGGTTAGAATCATGGAGTTTGCTGTTTAAACCAAAACTGCAACTTCATGTTTTATTTCAATTAATAACATTATAGACGTTTTATAAACTAAAAAGTCTCTCACCTTTAATTGTTATTTGAAGAGGATCACAAGATGCTGTCGCCATGAATGGTTTGTTCTCAATTCTGAAGAAGTATGTGTTTGTATAACTTGTGAGTAAACTGGAAAACAGAGTGGTGCAGTTTTTCTGACTCAGGTTTGCAGTAATCCTCATTGGATAGGTGTTAACTGTCCCACTACTGTTGAAAATCACATTGTCTGGATTGATGCTAAACTTAGAATCACTTTTAATCCACACTCCGAAGGTTTCTCTTCTGCTGTCAAACTCTTGTTCTGATTTAGCACTAAAGTTACATGGGATTTGCAAACAAGATCCACTCAGTGCTTCCATCTTCTGTGGTGCAGTAATGAAGAGGCCTGCTGGCTGTTGAGGACAATCAGCCCAAACACCTGTAAAACCAGATGATAAAAAAAAAGTGGAGCAAAATCTGCATGAAGACAAAGTTCACGATACACAAACTACAATTCAGCAGCAGCATATTCGCTCCTTTTTCCTTTTAACAATGTCAGTATAAAACATTTGACTGTGCTGCTCTTTCAGCTTTGTTTCTAAATGAAGTCCAAACTGTAAATGATGAACCTCTCCAAATAAAAGTGACTGAACAAACAGCTCACCTGAAAGAAAGAAGACACTCAGTAACATGTTGGCTGTCACAATATTCACAGACAGGACTGCAATGACACTCATCACCTGGATTTGAAAACACAAAAGTTACTTTCAGTATTTTAAACAAAGCATTCATTTTCTTTTAAAGCAAACTCAAATTCACACATTCAAACAGGAACTTGCCATCTACAACCAGATGTTACTGTGTTATAACCAGTGATTAATAATATCTGCAGAGCTGCACTGAGAACACTTTCAGTATAAACTGAAAATGATCCAGCGTGAGTTTATAATATTAAAGTTCAAATTAAATGTTGCTGAAGCAACTTCTCATTTCTTTGAGGCTCATTTCTGCTAAACTAAAACTCAAGAAATAAAATATATCAGGTATTTTTCAGTGGAGTTCATGAAAATCAGCAAAAGAAGAAACTAGATTAGAAAGCACAAACATCAAAAGCAGAAACATTTTACCTTACCAAACGAGCCTGCAGCTGAAACAGAGAAATCATTTGTTTTAAAATCAGGGAATTTGTGAATTTCAGCAGAACTGCAACAGACACAGTAACTGACTTCCCTGCTAAGCTGTTGTAATATAAAAACAGAGTTGTTGTATTTAGCTAGGTATCACACGACTAAAATCCTGCAGAAATACAAGAAGTCTTCACACTTCCTGCTCTCACCGTCAGTCAGGAAGTCAGTTTGGGGCAGCTCGAGCTCATTTGAATGCAAATGATGTCAGATGTTGTTGCATCTTAAACTCATCAGAGTGCAAATGGTTTATTTATTTAGATTTATTATTTTCCAGTTTAATTATTATTTTAGTTTACACACTAATGTAGTATTGTACTGAGTGCAGGCTTATTTCCTATGTTTTCTGGAGCTTCTGTTACATATATTACAGTACAGACAATAAAAAAACAAAGTGAGTTTACTGTATTGTAAGGAGGACAGTTCCAGGGGATAAAGGTTTAGATGATCCTCTCCTGCTGAGTTTCTGTTTAGTGCATTCTTACCAGTTTACAGACCCAAAGGAAAAAGGCAGATTGTGGCAACAGACAGAGCTGGTAAGGCTCCTTCTGCTGGATCAGATGAGGACTCTGTTGTGGTTTTGTCAACATGCTGTGATGATTGAGGACAGAACGGACCCAAACGCAACGCTTCAGGTTTCAAAAGAGGTTTATTGAAGGGAAAGGGGATGAAGAGGGGCTGGGGAAAGGGGGGAGGATGGACACTGGCAGACGTGGACGCGGGGGACCGAGGAGCTGGCGGAGCAGGAGGCGTTCAGGTGAGAGGGCTGAGGGGAGCTGGAGGCTGTGGAGGGAAGGATGCGGTGGCTGGCGGTCTGGCGGGGAGCGAGGGGAGAACCGGGGGGCGTCGTGGAGGCGGCGAGAGGAGGAGGCAGGTAGGCGAGCCCAGCTGGCAGAACATGGAGGCAGAGGTGGGTGGACCTGGTGGGAGGAAACAGACAGACAGGGTTAGTACTGGATGACAGGAGACGAAAAGGTTCGGCATGAAAAGGTTCATTAATAGCTAGAGCGAAGCTGTGGCACCAAGTCTGGAGCTGCGACGATCACGCGAGGATGGAGTGGAGAGCCGGGGTAGAAATACTGGTCGAGATGAAGCTGATAGATGGCTGGTGCGGCGATCGGAGATGGAGGTTAATGAGGCGCAGGTGTGGATAACCAGCTGGGCTCTGGAGCGGAGAGGGAGAGAGCACACAGAGGGGAAGAGAGGAGACACAGGAGAAACCAGGATGCGAAGGAGGAAAGGAAAAACAGGGCACTCACCAACAGCCGGGCTGCCACCGCAACACATGCAGCCAAACAAATGTGCACATCAGAAAGAAGATTTGAAAAAAGGGAAAATTTGTGCACTATTTGCAGTTAACAGCTGTACAAAGTGTATCATGTTCATGTCAAATTATAAAGTTTAAAGTTTAAATCGTCTATTTTACCCTTTTTATATTTTTAGGATACACAGAAGTACAGTAATATTTTAATTGATGCAAAAAACTAAATTGGGAACTTAATGATGAAGCAATTTTGCCAAATGACCAACTTCTTTAAACTTGAAGTTCTCAGCGTTTTTTTCAACACTCTGTAAAAGACACCATCAGTTTATCCTCCACCACTTCTCTTTTACCCACTTTAGGTCATCAACCTCAAACTGATCAGCCTCATGCTTTTAACACTTATATTTCATTTACAGTAACATCAAAACAGTTTCAAGTACTGTGGGAAACAAGACAGTTACATGTTAACTACATGCCACAGGATATACATTTGATGTGTCTTATAATGAATGTGATGTTCTGTTGAAGGACTTGCACCACACTGCTGACTGTGTTGTAATGTTTGCCACTGTCAGTACATGTATAGATCATTCAGCAGCTGAATTAGATTCAGGAATTAAACCTCATGCACTGAATGTATACCACAAATATAAAACCAAATGTTTTCAAGGGGAAAGTAGGAAACATGTTGCAGGTTACTTTCTTCGCTCTGAATACTCACAAGCTTTTCACATGATGAAATAACTACTTACTAATAACAGATCAGTTATCAATTAACCCCATAAAAGGAAACAGTCAAAAGACAAATAACAAACTGCTTCACAAAAATACTTTATAATTATGTTTTTCTTAAATATCTTATCTTTCTTAAATACAGGAAGCATTTGACTCATACGGCAGAGGAGAACTAATGAAATTAAGCTATGAGTTTAGGAGTTAAAAAGACAATATTAACATTATGGGACCTCCCCGACAACAGAATGTTTTGTTGGGTCTTTCTGCATGTCGGCGGCCTGCGTTGGCCTGTTGCACGGGTCCCACGCTAGCTGCCCGATCCTGGCTTTTTGCTAGGGATTCTCCGGGGTTCTCCGTGTCTGATTGAAGAAAAACCTCAAGGGTTGGCCGTCTTCCGTCTGGCAATTTGGCTGTTTTTTAGGTTTCCTTCGTTGCTGCTGGTGAGACCACGTGGCTTGGTCTGACCTTGGTGAAGTTGGCTCGACGAAAAAGCTTAAAAGGGAACTTGGTCGTTCCTGAATTAGACCAGTGTAACTTAACGGACTGATAACTTTAACAAAACAAAAGAAAGAAAGAAAATAAAACAAGTAAAGTTGCTGTTAAACGAGGGAAAAATCGATGTTGCGGCACTTCGCGTGTGTAGCTTCAAGCAAAACAAAGACTTCGTTGCGCTGGTCGAATTCTTAGGGCATTGCCAGGAGAGGCACGAAGGACACGTGCCGAAGCGTCCAGAGAGCAGAGCAAAGAGGAAGAGAAGAGAGAGGGCGACATCGTGTGTCGCTCTTTTGTGGTCTGGGGTTCCCCAGAGGGCAGTCCTTCATTCCCGACAGGGAGCGTTTCCGGTTTCCCGAGGGACTGTCTTTCTAAACTTTTAATGTCTATAAAAGAAAAGAAAATCTATTTGCGCGTATCATAATGAAATATTTTCCACAATCAAACCTCACTGGTCAAACAGTTGTACGTTGTAGTCTAAGTTAAGCATTTGGTAACAGGAAAACAATTGTCATTTCATTGGTCATGATAAATGAGTGACATTTATACATTAACGGCATTTCTGACGATGGTATGTAATACTTATTTCGTCCACTTGGGAAAGCTCAGGTTACATGAGGAAAGCTTAGATTAATCCAAAACAATCTTTCCTTAGGAACTGGGAAATTTAGTTATTTGGGCTTAAATTCAAGCCGGCAATTAATAGAGTATAGTATGACATTTCTTTATCATCGTTTCTAAAGGAATTGTGTGAGAAAGTATTGTGAACAAGCATTGGATACACATAAGATGAAGGAGTGTCCTTAATCTTGCTGAAAATAAAAATACCGCAAAAGTAAGTTATTTGGATTCTTTTCAGCAATAATATCAACAACAGATAGCAACAACATGGTAACATAAGTACTCAAATAGAGGCAAACATAATCAAGTAACTAAAAGATTATTAAATTGAATAGTTAATGCTTTGAGTCTTTGGAGACTGCAGTCTTTGTTTACATAAAGTTTAGGCTGTCCTGGATTCTGTCACACTTAGGCATAAAAGGGAGTATCCCTTTGATGGGATAATGAAACACAGAGCAATGTCAGTTGCCACATGTGTGGGGGCAGTTTAGGGTTTCCTGCCCCCTTAGGCTGCTCAGGAATAGCACTTAGAGAAAGTGACCCTTTCTTTTGTTGGGGTCTCTTCAGCCGTCTGTGGAGGGTTGATAATTAACCCCCCTGCTCCTCTCTGGGAGAGGAAAAGAGGAATTTGGAGTAGTTCCAAATTTATTTAATATAAAATGCACAAATCCACACTGTTTTCCACTACATCCCCCCTCAGCCAAAATGTTCCCTCAGATAGGGAACAGTGGGTGAAAATTCTTTGGAAAGTGGTAGGTTTAAATTACAACAGGGAGACACAGAATAGTGGCTAGGGCTGTGGGTGGCGGACCAAAGTAAAAAGATACCTTCCAAGTTCTGTTTTACGAGGCACGCACATGAACTCTAATATGACCTTTTTAAACCACTAGCAGTTATCGTCCCTAATTGAGGAGAATTATTGATTTATTAGGACATTATTGTTCCCGACAAGTCCCATGGGATTTTTGGGAAGCTTGATTTGGTCCAGAACTGGTGAATGTTTTTCTATGACCACAGAAGGATCGGTCCAGTGGGGAAAGAACTTGTGTGCAAGTCTTCCTGTTCTCTGGCCGTCCTGTTTCCTTAGTGGGACAAACTTTGTCCCCCCTTCGGAGCTTGTTATGAGACACGTTTTGGTCATTATAGACTTTGCATCGTTGTGTGCTGTTGTCTAAATTATTTTGGCCTGTGAGGAAATGTTTATTTCCTCTGGCTGGTTCAGTTAGGGGTTCCCTCCTGTCAAATTGTGGGTTTGACAAGGGAAAAGAAATGCCTCTCCGTTGTAAGGAGGCTCTGTGTGATGGTTTTGCTGGTTGAGACTGGCAGCAAACCTTACAGGTTTTGATGTAGTCTGCTACATCATTTTGCATGTGTGGCCAATATGCTACTTGTTTAAGTGCATTGTGTGTTGCACTGAACCCTTTGTGGCTTTTGTAAGGTGAGTCATGGGCGTGCATGAGCATCACCCCAGGTGAAGTGCGGGCGTCTGAGACATACGACAGAATGCCCTTGACGACACGCAAAGAAGAGCGCACCAGGTAAAGGTGTTTCAAGCCAGGGATGGAAGCAAGCTCATTGTTGGAGACAGGCTCTGCGTCAGAAAGGCAATGGAGCATTTTGCTATGGGCGGAATCAAGAGTTTGAAGCCGAATTAAGTCAGAGTCACGGACTGAGATTTGTGGGGCAGGGGCGGCTGTCAGAGACAAGCCTGCTGCCTTGGCTCTGGTGGCATTGCAAGTCATATTGGTGCGATGGGTGGGGAGCAAATCTGCTTGGGAGTGCTGGGGTGTGTCTTGAACTGCACCCTGTTTTCCTAGTGCTGTAAACTTGGTGTCAAGTTCAGCTTTAGGATGACTACATGTGGTGTCTGACCCCCGTCTCATGCATTTATGTAAAGTTATGGAGGATGGCTCTGGTGAAGTGTTGACAGAGAAGATGGTGATGGTTTGTGCACCCATATGTCTGTCATTGGTTATGTTGCCTCTGGGAACAGAGTCGCTGGTAAGCGGCAAAGAAGGA